TTAAAAAAAGAAATTGTGCATTTACAGATAAATATTAAAGCTAAAAGTAAGAAAAACAACTGTTTCATTTGAAAAGAGCTTTATAGATAAAGAAAATCTATTGTTTTCAGTGGCTTTCGGGGTTATGTAAGACCTGCGCTCCGAGTTGAGCGAAGAATGTAGTACTAGCAGCCTTTCGTTCTTCGGTCGAATAAAAGTATAAAACATATTTCCAGCTTCGCTGACACGTTTTAAACAATACTTTTGGACGGTCTAGAAGTCTCCAAGAATAAAAACGTCAAAATGATAGAATCACAGATCTGTTACAATATTTTTACTGGCAGGAAAGGTAAGAAACTAAAGAAATTATCTTCTTTAGAAAAACCTCTGTTCAACAGACATTACCAATCAAATATATCTGTACTAATGCCGAAAATAAGGCCAATGTTGTATCAAAATTTTACATGGTATTTAAGAATGAAAATAAAAGCTTTAGAGATTATCTGCGCATCTGAAAGTGAAATAATGAATGTCTTCATTCATCTTTACATTACAACTGACAATAAGATTCTGAGCATGATTAATAGTTAATAAAGATTAGTGCATAGAATATAGATAGCTCTCCTGATCCTTGCCATGATCAGTTACCTATTACTAACTTTCTTTCCTTAAAATATTATCAATTCAGATATTAAAAGGCAAGTTGGCAATTTATGATTACATGTTAGGGTATGATTTAGTTTATTATAAATAACCCAACTTTTGTCCAAATCTCTCAGATTATCTTCGATTTAATTTCTTTAAATTTCGCGCATTAGTTTTAAAACGTTGAAGAATTTGATACATCATAAGTATTTAAGCCAAGTGTTTGAATGTTTTAGAGTGAGAGCTTCTGGTAGCCTCGCTTTCAATTTATGTTCTATCTCCAGTTATGACAGTGTTATTCCGGCTTTGGAAAATTTGCTAGCCGATGTTAAAACCATTTCTTAATTACGTGAGTCAACTTAAGTAGTATGAGATTAATTTCTCAGACTATTTTGCTTGAATTTAGATTTTAGTTTACATTGTCTTAAATACCCGCAAGTTGCGGAGTTTCATCTGTAGCACAAGTAGTGCCTTTTGTTAATTTCAAGAGTTAAATAAAAGGTTACTTTAACCTTCGTAACATTTTAAAATATGCATTTTAAAATTAAAAGAACTTTGTTATGGCAGTTATTAAATTTACATCATAGAACCAAATTAATGAAAAATAATAGCGAAAAGAAAAATACAAAATTTAAAGGTGTCTTTAATTTTAATTCATTTCAAATTTAATAGATTAGTTTTTAGAAAGGGAAAATTTTCTTTCTCTGAAAAACGCATATCTTGTACCGAAAATCTATATTTTGTGAAAGAAACATCTATATGAGGAAATATATTACATTAAAATAACTTGTTGAATGAACTTGAGAAGACTTACCATCAAAAGCAAATCCGATGCTTTTAATTTTAAATGAATGTTTTATGAAACCGTACAGTTTTGCAACTGGTACCAGAAATGTATATTTACTTTCGTAGTATCATTTCTTTCAAAATCTAAAATGATATTATTCATAATGAAAACCAGACACCTAAAACAAAGAAAACATTAACATTTAGGTCAGAGTATGCTTTTATCTTTTCCCTGACAGTCTCTCTTCCTTGAGAAGAGATTTTGATGAATCAATGTTTGCGATTATTAACCTTTATCTTAGCATCTCATGTAAGATCTGTTACCCGTAGACGTATTCTTTCTCATTCTTTAAATAACAATGTTCTTTTTGAAAAGAGACCTAAAAAATATATGCTAGATTCGTTTTTAAATACCCAGCATAACATTTCTACTGTTTTGCTAAATATTTAAAAAATCAAAATTTTCATTTTATTTTCGATATCTAAATGGATATTTTCTTTCACATTTTTAATACTTTGCTAAACATTTTGTTAATGTTCTTTTGCATTTTTACTTAATATAAAAAAAGAAGTTTCTTAAATTTAAAAATTACAGATAATTTTTCCCTATCTTTCGTACGTATTCCATTGGACAAACTTTCCTGTAATTATCTGTAATTTTATTCGCATACACAACACTGAAAGGAGTTTCTTAATATAAAGAAAGAAGTTTCTTAAATTTAAAAATTACAGATAATTTTTCCCTATCTTTCGTACTTATTCCGTTGGACTAACTTTCCTGTAATTATCTGTAATTTTATTCGCATAAAATGAAAGGAGTTTCTAGCAAAGATTTATGTAAAAAACTTTTGCTACATTGTTGATTATTCTCAGTTTTAAAAGAATTTATTCAATGACCGTTTTCAACGAAAATATCCAATTTGACCACTATCGAATGTAATTTAACGATGTTTTTGTGTGACATCTGTACGTAAGGACAGAATAAAGGACTCCTTTCCCCCCAAAAAATTATAAAACTGATTTAAAATGAATCCTGAAGAGACGTTGTCGTGGCGTCTGTGCGTACTTACGTATGTATGTATGTATCTCGCACAACTCAAAAACGAGTCGCTTTAGAACGTTGAAATTTTGTATATAGGACTGCTATAATATGTAGATGTGCACCTCCTATTTTGGTTGCAATCGGCCGCATCAAAAGTATATAAACAAGTTACCAATAATTTAAAAGTTATTTAAGTGCAGCTAAGCCTAATGAATTTTGCGATGGCGGACATGCTTGTTTACATTTCAAATTTAACCAAAATAGCGGCTTTGTTGCCAATCTCGAGAAACTAAGCTTCGCAAAAACAAAGGTAACGCCTTCTTTTATTATTGCGAATTAAATCATGCTTAATCCATTCTGAAATTTATTTGAAGAAATAAGTGTTTAAGGTTTATTTTGTAATTTTTAATACAGATATTTTGAGTTTCTATGTATTTTTGCCTTGTTGCGAATTGAGAACTGAATTAATTAAATGAAAAATACTGAAAAATTTTTTTGTTTGTTTGTTTAATTTTTTTATGCATCGTTTTAGATTTATTATCATATTTGAATAGAATATGTGGCAAAGATTAGATAATTCTTCAGATGATATAAATTTTGTGCATTCTGAGTTAAAAATGAATGAAATGTAACGCTGTAAGTGAACCTAGCCCCAGAGTATTGCTATGGTAAACAAATATATTAAAGAGTAAAATATTACTAAAGTAATAAAATATTTTGAAGAGCGTATTTATCTATTGTGGCTTATGCGCTATCGACGAAGTAGACTTTATTCAATCTAATAAGTTTAAATGAAATGCAAGAAGTAATGCGTATAATTTAATATTCCGTACAAAGAAGTCATGTCATATGCACATCGGATTTTTTTCTATGTATTATGGGTGGTAAGTTTTCAGTTACAGGAAGGATTTATTTTAAATTAGGAAAAAATTTTATTAATAATTTTACTTTGTATTTTTGTCATTTTTTTGGTTAGGGAGGGACCAGAATTTTTGGATCAACTGTTAAGATTAAAAAATATATTGGAATGTTTCATCAGCCGATTTTGGATGCAGAAAAGCAGGGATTTTCTTATGGAAGAGGAATTATTACTGATTTCGATATCTCCTCCTCCTGTAGAAGTTATGTCGGAGTTAATTGGATTCCTCTTCTTTCATGTTCTTTTCTACTTTATTTGTTTTTTTTATTTTTCTTGTGATGGTTTATTTTAATTTTTCTTTTAACATTTACAGAATTCTAATTCTGCACGTACAGGATTTTTTTTAATTTATTTATTTGAATTTAAATTTTTGGTCTTCACAAAAATTGGTGCTACATTTCTTTATATATATATATATATATATATGTGGGTGTGTAATGAAACTGTGGTTCGATGACACGAGATGAAAGATTTGATTATGGATCCGGCACAAACATGCATTAAAATTTCCGATGAAACAGGACTTTTCCCATGATTCACTGTGAACATAGCTTAACAAACTTGTGTAGAATTTTTCATAATTAGAACTGGAATTCATAAATAGAATGTAATGACATAACACTTTTGGAGGCACTAAAATAAGAACACTGAGACGTAGAGGCGCAGAAATACTAATTGCGTAGATGCTTGATGCTTAAAGCGTCGATCCATTTTTGAAGAAGAGGCAGTCGAGCTGGATTAAATTCCCATTTTGTGGCCGCAATTCACTTGGCACTCCACTCGTGCCTATTAAAGAACATTTGCAATTTTTGATATTATTGCCATAGAAGCGAATATAGCAGCTCATGCATGATTGCAGTAAAGCATCTGGCGAAGAGGAAAGCACAAGCAAAAGTGACGCATCAGTTTGTAGAAAGAAGCCAAGTTTCGGTTTTTAGTTTTGGTTTACAATTCGGTGATTGGTCAAGAGGCATCTGTATTAACGGTTACGTAAGATCTCAAGATTATTTTGAATGACGCAGTTTAGACTTACAGCGCTATTTTTAGGGCAGATTGATGAAGTTCCCAAATGAAATAAAAAATAAAAGAAGTTATAGTGATTAAATTTAGAAGTTTGCTTTCATATTTTTTATCTTATATATATGTACTGTATGTAATGTATATACATGTATATATGTATATAATTTTAATTAATCTTTAAAATATCCGGCGGATAACGAAGAATTGCTCTTTTTAATTAGTAGCGCCATTTCCTTTTCCTGTACTGATTGATAAAAAAATATATGACCCTAGTGATTTTAATTATAAATACATAATTCTAATAATAAATTTTTAAATAAAAGGGAATTTAAATTTCTGGAAACTTCCGACAAGTTCTCTCCTTTCCTTCTTCATTCATGACGGTTTTATATACGTTGCCTTCTTATATTCTAGGATTCTAAAACCTATTAATAATATTTTACATAATTTTGGGTAATAAAATGTAATATCAGAATCTATATTATTATTTACATAAAGCAGAAAATTTGCTGAAATCTTTTACCATCAGTGATACATTTTATAATTAAACATTATTTTATTTCATATTATCACATGACTTCAAAATATTAAATTATTCTTTTTTTACAGTCATGTTTCCCAGGAAGGTACAAGGCTATTCATGTGGTTGGAATGCCTAGATTTTTCGCTTATGCATGGAATATAGTTTATCCTTTCATCATGAATCTGAAACTAAAGAAAAGGGTGAGCAATAATTTCATTTACTAGTCTTAAATCAAACTTTTAACTTATTTACAGTAACAGTAATCAATTTAAAATAGTATTAAAATAATAAACAGTTTAAATATTTCATTATTTAATGGTCTACAAAAGCATGTTATGTATGATACTAAATAGATATATTTCATATTCTGTGGAAAACTATGTACTGTTAATAATTCAAAACCTCAGAAATTAAAAAAACTGTTCAAATTATTATATATTCGCATTATTATAATGAATTTTTTCTAAATTCATGCTTTCAAAATTGACTTATTTTTCGAATTAATGAAAGATCACTGCATTTGAAGCATTAAAATCATTTATATGTAATTTCAGAATCATTCATTTTAAATTATAAATGTATAACTCTGCAGTTTGGATTATATTATCAAGGGTGGCCAAAGATGATGACGATACTAGCCGCATGGTAGATTTCATGACAATTCGAGAGCCGCAGCTTGATTTTTAAAGAGCCGAAAATCGATATTTTTGTGGTTTGAAAAACAATGAAACTAGTTTTAAAGTAGAAATGAAGTTTTGAAGTAAACTGATATTTTCTCACCTTTGTAAGTTAATGTGGTTATATATAAATATGAATAAATACAATTTATTTTCTCTTTTTTTTAAAGTATGTATAAACAAGAAAATATCTATATTTTTAAATATTGCCCAACAAAATATAAATTTGAAACAATTGTACGATGTAACTGAGTATTCTTTTTTTCAGTAAGAAACAAAATATTTTCTTCTGGTCTCCCTCTGGGTTTATAACTGTTGCTTTGTTTAAGTAGAAGCAAACTAAAATCGGAAGGAAAAAAAATTGGTCTTTATGAGTATAATAATTTTAAAAGATTTTCATTTTGGTGAAGAATAAATCACTAATTTAAAAACTAAATTGACAGATTTTACTTCATTTTTAACCCATAAGCAGTATTTTAGGAAAAAAAATAATATGTGATACAAGGCAACTAGCACTGTTATTGGAGAAAGAAAAATGAGTTTAAAAAATCCTATTAACGTTTTAGCTTTTGCATAAATATTAATTTGTTTTCCCACACAATTAATACGAAAATCAACTACAGAAATGAAATCCAACTTTAAATAATTAAACTATTTCATTAGATAAGAACTGGATTTTAAGTTATATTTACTTCTTCTGAAGCCGAGTGTTTAGAATCCTTCGATCTTCAGACAGATTTTAAATTCCAAACCTCTAATATTAAGAGCTTTTTCATGATTCGAAGCTTTTGAATCTTAATTTACGTAAACGTAACGTTTCACCTTTTTGAGTTAAAGGTTGGAATAACTGGCCTATTGATTGTAGAAGAATCAACTAAGCAAATAATAAGATAGCAAGTTCATAGATATATGAATAACCTGTATTATCCTCGATGGCCGTGAATCCAGTACTGTTTCGATACTGTATCCATGGAAATCTGCCAGAATTTTCGAATAATTATTCGAATTATTATTCCGCAGCACTTCATTGAAAATTTTCGAAACTGTTCCTGGAATCTTCTCGATAATTATCTTTGTAGATAACCTTCCATTGATTATAGCAACTTATAAGCGTTGTCTCGGGTTTAGTTTTCGAGTTATTCTAACTGTTAACTCGTAAATCCGTAAAGAGGGTAGACAACTTATCTTCTCATCTTAAACTTTTAAGTAAAATAATTCAGAAAAAGTTTAAAATAAGTATTTTTTATTTATCATCAGCCTGGCGGTTACACAAACTGTATACAGAAAAGAAATCTGCGCTACTTGCAAGAAAATTAGAAACAACAGTTAAAATAAAATTAAAGTGTTAAATTACAGAAAAAGTACACCCACCAGCTTTGGCTAAGACTCTCAAACCGACGAAATAACTAATATAAACGCTGGTAGAAGAAATAGCGAGATGGGCCAAATATTATCTCTCGAACTCAAGAACGTTTTGCTTAAATACATTAACTAATTTGCATCCTGGTGTTAAACAATGAAGTTACAAATGAAATTAAAGGCCAGGTAATATGATAACTGATTAATAAACATAAAGACCTTATACAGATGATGACATAGTTCGATCAATTTAGTCGACCGCCTCGTTTGGCACTGCTTTACTTGCTGTAAATCTTATTGAAGTAGAGTAAGAACATCTGCTGTTTTGGATATCCCAAAGAAAAAATCACAAGGCTGTAAAAAGAAAAGACTTTATGTTACTTCTATTTGGAAAATTAAGAATTTTGATGTTGTTACATAATAAATGTATTTCCAACTCGTTTTCTGCTATGTATTGTTCACAAATTATGCTATATTTGTAAGATATTTTCTCCCTTCTTCTAACATGCCTTTGTGGTGTAAGGGTAGTACACTGGGCGTGTATTCGAGAAATCCATGTTCAATTCCCGGCCAGAGCACTGCTCATTTTCTCACGTCTCCTTCAATCAAAAGCTCTAATGACTCTATAAGTTGGCTCCCAAACTAAAAGGCGGCGAACAATAATTCGTCACCATCATAATTTGGCGACTGTGTCCTCTAATCCCCAGACGACCTTTAAACGGAGGAGTATGTAAGATATTTTCTCCATCCGTTCAGCACAGCATGCCTCCCTGGTGTAACGGCAATAACTCGCCGCGTAATCAAGAGGGCTAGATTCGAGTCACAGTGAGGGATTGCACATTTTCCACCTCTCCAGCATGACTCTACATATTTTTAGCAGCAAGCCTGTCTGATGGAAGTTTCGCTAGATCTGAGCTCCAGATTTCATGGCTGTGCAATCAAATCTTTCGATCGATTTTAATAAATGTGTTTTGCTTTGTTAGAAGTTATATTGATCCCTTAATGGGGCAACAAACTGCATACATTTGTGTTATTTAAAGCTGAAGTTTTGAGGCAAAAATAAATGTCCGCTTGAGTTCTCTAGAAAACGGCATTTTGAAGTGATAAGTGTTTTAAACGGCATTTTGAAGTGATAAATGTTAATGAAGTGATAAGTGTTGATGTCTGAAAGCGTGTGGAGGTAGAGTACCTTTGGAAAATGAAAGACCATATTTCAAAACTGAAATTTGATGAAGCTAAATTCCAACAGACTTTCACCATACATTGCTTGAAATTTTCAAGTGTTCAGACAGAGGATCGTAGTCTACAAGATGCTCAAAGATTAGTAAGGACAATATTTCTTTAATCTGTAACAAATTAAAAATAGTAGTCTCGACATCGAATAGAGGAAACTGGTGTATAGATTCGAGAAGACTGGTACAACTGCACTGGGTAATTGAATTAAGGAGCGAAAGATTTTAGTACCAATGGTAAAAGTCCTAGCTCCAAATCTAACCTAGTGCGTATTTGGTAGCGAGATAGAAAGAAACAAGCTTGTCAAATAACATGTGAGAAAACATCATAAGCTTAAACGATTTCGCCGGCATTAGTATTTCATATTTTGATCGACATTCTGTAGAAAAGGGAAGTTTGTGTCCAGTTGGTCACTCATTGCTTGATGCAATATTTTTTTTAAACAAAGATTTGATGAAGATGAAACACTTTTATCTCGAATGACAAATAACAAAACGAATATTAAAATCTTTGCTCAGAACTGAAATACTAGTTTTCAATCTGATGCGGAAATCTAGTCTCCCCATGACTTACAAAATTTCAACATGCTCAACTTTTGGTAAAATAAATGATGATCTCTGCTTAGGATTACCGAGGAATTATCACAAAAAATAGAGTTTCAACTGGGAAAAGTGCAACTCCAGCACTTTATTTTGAGAGGTTGCGAAATTTGCGAAGAAGATTGCATAAAGGTGACCCTATCTGCTTAGCAAATAAATTTTGAAGAATACCAGTATGTGATAAAGAGTTATGACTAATCAAGTACAAACGGAAAGGTTTACAGTCAATAAAATCCGGAGATTTCAAATTCTTCCTGGACTGAATGAAGCTCTACTCGGACAGCAGTTTTCCTACTTGAAAGGAATTTTAGTTATTAACTAAAAGTGTCTTTGCTTAATATCTATTTCAAAATGCAATTATATTTCGAAACTGAAACTACTATTTGTAGCAAATAATTAAACTAGGTCGCACTTAAGAAGTCAAAGAGCCACGAGTTGCTTGCGAGCTACAGTTGAAGTGTCGAAGAGCTTCCGATCGCGAACCGCAGTTTGACCATGTTTGTTATATGATCTTATTTTCACTTTTACAACATATGCTATAGTTTTTGAGAATTCAAGAATGACTTCCGTAATAAAAGATTCCGATAATAGCAAATTATGAAGAAATTAGTGAAACTAATATTCAGTACAAGTTTTCATACTTTATGCACGTGCACATTTCAGTTTAAAATAGTTTGACTCTTTACAATTTCACCAAACTGCTTATATTTATAATGGTATTAAATCTTTCACGACATCATTTCGAAGTTCAAATGCCCTAAGCTGAACATAATTTAATCGTGACCACTATCGAAGATACTGGTGATTAGATCATTTCAGTTAAAAATTAAAAAAATAAACCTCTGTTAGATCAGTACTTAAATAAAAGATAAAATCACAAATATCTGAAAGATTTCATATTTTAAATTACGTTCAAAGAGTCTTTTTTTAAGGGTTAATGTTTTGTGTGTTACTTTTATTTATTAAATATCATGTTCTACGAACTCAAACGATAAAATTCAGTTCAACAGCTATATCTCAATTTTAAAATGAGCATATCTTTAGAATTTCTGATACAGAGTCTCGCGAGCTGGAGATAATATTTTTTTCCGTACAGTGTTGCCATTGCTCGCTTTGAAATCGTTTACTTTGTTAATCAAAAATTCGTTTGAAGTGTTACAAAATATGAAATCAATAATAAAACAAATTTCAAATTCAAATTAGGGCCCCTATTCTATAGAAGATTACGTTATCAAATTTTGATGGCTCTAGGTACCGTTGATTTATCACAATAGATCATTCAAAGAAAATAAGGACCCACTCTTTACAATTTATCAGTTTATCCATTTTAAT